AACATACTGACATATTTGAAACAGCAAACATCTTTGACATTACAGGAGTAATGATATTTTCTGTAATTAAGATAAAACGAATATTCCGTCTTATAATATAAAAGGTATGCTATATCAAAATAAGTAAGTGACGTCATACCTCCTGTACAAACACCATCAAATAAATCATTTGAAATCGCCGGCATTGCATCATAATTGTTGATAAGGATACGATGAACGGAAACAGGTTTGTTGACTATTCCATCAATTTCCTGTCGGTCCATCAATCCAACACCAATAGCATAAACTTGTATCCCAGCAGCCCTAGCGCTGTTAGCTTCCGGTATACTTCGCTGAGCATTCATGTTTGATACTCCGTCTGTGATAAGAACAATCATTCCTTGCACCCTCGCCCTCCTCCCTGGGCCCCGGGCCAACAAATCTTCACGGGCGGCCCTGATACCTTCAGCGGTGTTTGTATTACCGTATGAATAAGGAATGGTTTTTAGTATGCTATCTAATTCAGCCCTTTTGGTCGCTTGGTTGAAATAAACTTTCTTAGTGACTTGTGTATTATAGATAACGATGCCTATTTGATATGAACCCCCGTCTAGATCGATATTGTGTCCGAACTCTGATATCCAGGCAATTACTTTGCGGAAACTAGTTGTCCCCACGCTTGATGAAGAGTCGACGACAAACACAATGTCACGTTGTACAGCAATGCATGTGCGACTCTCTGAAAATTTAGATAGTTTATTCTCAAAACTAAACATAAAATATTTCGTTTCATATAAGGCTGCTTATTGAGATGTGTTTCGAGTAAACAACTTCCTAATCAACTCTCATTAGTGACTTGTGTGGGTTTTTTTTTTTCGATTGTTGGTTTTGTTTTTGTTTTTGTTTTTTCATATACATAATAATAAACATACCGGATATTTACTACAGTAGTGAATAAGACATGAACGTCTGTATATTTTTCTCCAGATTTTAAAAAATGGTCATTAGAAGGCAAGGGGACATGCTATTAGATCTCACTGTTAGACGTGAAGATCTTATTTTATATACATATGCATACCTTCGCAAACCTCAACCATTAATGCATTCTTGACTGTATCCATTTCATCAAACGTATTGACGCTAAACCGGTTATGTTCCAGCGGTTTATTGGCCATTCCGGCCAATTCCGATGCCCTTCCTACGCCTATGTCCATTACAAATACACGTATGCCATCATCTCTTGCCATATTTGCCTCCGGAATAGATCGTCTCGGGTTCATGTTTGCCAAACCGTCTGTGATCAGCAGAATCATATTCGAGGCATCGGCTCTATCTCCGTTCTCTGGAGTGAACATACTCACCCTTGCAAACTTGAGGGCGTCAGCCGGATTAGTATTGCCGTAGGTATACGGAATATTACCAATTACTTGCAACAGCTCGGCAGAAGTTTGTAAATCGTTCAACATTGTTTTATGAGAAACGAATGTGTTATAAGTCGCAATACCCACTCGGAAACGACCTGAATCTACATCTAATGACTTGACAATGTTCTTGGTGAACTCCAACATGGTATTGAAATTTCCTTTCCCGACACTTGTTGATGAGTCTAAAAGTATGACTATATCTGCCTTCCCTGACACACATTTAATGGTTTCTGAAATCGAAGGGAGGAGTGAACATCACATATATTCATTATCAAACATAAATATTGATGACGTAACACACACATATTGATGACGTATATCTTGAAAATGATTAACAAATGTTTTTGTATCATAAATTTCATCCGTACAAAACCAGTCTCGTTAAAGCAAATGATTTTATGAATTAAAGTTAACGTGAATGTAGAAATGTTGACTGAGACATAAAGATGGCGTTTGTCCAATGACCATGATCTTAATTATGTTGTTATTCTTTATAACAATGAGTTAATAGTCATTACTTGTATACGTACCGATCACCATGGTTTTACGAATATACGCAAAGAAACGCCAAAAACCGTTTATACATTATTTCTGCTAGCCCATCGCCATGCATATTTTCTAATCCAATCACCATGTATTTTTTAGTTTTGTCAACCAATCACCATTAATTTATTTTTCTTCAGCCAATCACCTTGTATATTAGATGTTTTCCCCGTCAAACCTTCGCCATTAGTATGTCAAATTCTCCAACCAGTCGTCTAAACTTTCCGTCAAATATTCATCACGTGTTTTCTGCAGCCAATCACTGTGTGTGTGATATTTTACTCAGTCATTTATCATTAATGAAGCAATTGTCATGTTTTACACGGAACCTGATATCCATATTATCGCCATTTAAATATTGCATATGTCACCTCCACCATATCACAAGTGATCACTTAAAATGTTAGCTTCATCTTGCCACTAACTATCGCCGCAACATGCGAACCTGTCTCTGGAAACATAAGGTCCCGTCTTGCTCATACCGCATGCACCACTACCATCTATGCACAGTTATTCGTAACATAGCCAATTCACCTATATGTGCAAAAGGAAGAAAATACAGTGCGAAGTCACTGATATGAACCCGTTACCATAGAAGTTTGATACTAATATTTTGATGATAATTTTGCATCACAGTAAATACAAAAGAAATGTCGTTTGCTGCATGTTTTCCGATAATTAATCCTTCACCAATGATACCTTGTTTAAGATATGCAGACAACAGGAGAGAGGAAGATACCACCACAAGTGTAGGCAAAATGATAGAGAGATGAATATAAGATGGAAAAGAAGCGAATCTTCATAGATCTGTGCAATAAAGTAACAAAATGTATTAGAGGCTAAAGCTTATCATCAAAGCTTATATTCCGTAGTGTACCTTTACAGATTCCAGAGAAAATCTTATTTTCTATTGAAGCCAATGCATTGAAGTCATCGACGTAAAATCCGTTGTCGCTAAATGGTTCCGATGGAATCGCGTCCAGGGTAATTCCAGGACTTAATCCAACACCTATAAAGTACATACGGGATCCCTCTTCCTTTATTAGTGTTGCCTCTGGTATTGTACGCCGTACATTCATGTTCGGGATGCCGTCTGTGATCAGGATCACCACATTCGGAACTGTTCTTCGGTCTCCTTTAGACCCTATAATTTCTTCTCTAGCTACTCGTAATCCCTCGGCAGTGTTTGTATTACCGTATGTATACCGGATACCGGATATCGCCTCAAGTAGACTATCCTTCTCGAGATATTCGTCAAGAAGTATCCTCGTGGTAATACCAGTATTGTAGACGACAACCCCGACCCTATGATTACCGGAATCAATATCCACCGTGTTGACAAAGTCAGCCATAAAATCGAGCATTTTCCTAAAGTTAGGTCCACCTACACTTGTGGACGAGTCAATGATGAAAACAATATCGGCGCTACCTGAAGAGCAGTCGAAGAAAGCTGGAACGGGAGATCAGTTAATACTGATTAAAAATTACCAGTTACATCCGTTTATCAAACAGTGAACCAATATATCATTTGTTAATGCTTTATGGTATTCAGGATTCAGGATATCTGTTTCGACAGCAAGTTGAAACTTTTCAAACGACTCTTTCACCGACAAGGGTAAAAATACTTTCAACTGCCACAATGTATAATTTAATCATGCATAAATATGATTATTTTAACTGCACACAACATGTTTTTCTCAATATATATATTTGTTGATATAAATGTGTTTAACCTAACCACGTAGTTTATGGCTTATCAATGGGTATAATGATACATTGAAAACATTCAATAGACTGAACCATCACATAATGTATAGCAACACCTTTCTATGTGGATATACATATATACAGCTCCGCGCACCTTGTATCCCTGCACCATAATATATAACAGTGAAATAATCCTGCGAACCCTCTTCCCAGCGCTTGCGCAGTTATTACTAAACCAAGCCCATGTCATACGCAGCGATTAATCCCGCGCCACACGAAGCATTTGATACAACATGAAAGTCCGTTTAAAATATACAGTGGTATATAAGAGCTGGAAATGAACATGTTTATTGATTTTATTTTTGAAATGCAGTTAATTTGTGATTTACTTCGAATTTTGTTTAACACTTTAATATTCCAACATATAAAAAAAGTATTAATTGTTTCATTTGAAAATTCCCTTGTTCATACTGTCATTTATAGAAACAATTACTATAGTAATGTGACGTTTTATCCTTCTATCTAAATCCGGAAACAGATAAACGAAGTTGTGATATACAAACACGACAATAAACCAACAACAAAATATACAGGCAAAGCAGATGATTGTACATGTATACTGAACACATAGGTACAAAAATGTATGAAAAGCCAGTGTGCTACAATAGAACATAAATCTATGGCACGGCGTCATATGGCGTCACTATAGATTTAGCTTTACGAAGTATCTCTTGATTACACGCGGTATAGCCTGTTTATATGTAAATGCGCCCATAAGGCGTGTGTCTTTTTTACCTTCATCGCCGAAGAGTTCTGAAAAGTAACTTAAACTTGTCAGCAGATTACAAACACATACAAATTTCAATAAACTATAAATGACATAACAACATTAGTAAGACGTTGACATATCCTTACTATATCTACAAAAAATATACAAATGTAATTTGCCAATGAATGCCTCTTTCATTCTCTCAACCATTCCGGACAATACAGTAAGGTACACAGCGTAGTTACGGTTTATTAGCAGAACGTCCATATCTGCATATGATTCAACGTGACTTAGAATTCAGATGTCTGGTTATAATGTGCAGAGCGGTACATATATCAAATTATGTGTGTTAAACCATACAAAATTTTGTCCTTTTCCCACCTTCTGAGGTTTGGACATTACCTGCTGAGATTTGGACACCACCTTCTGAGGTTTGGACACCGCCTTCTGAGGCTTTAGAACACTTACCTTTTGTTTGTAAAATACAAAATTCTTCCATGTAGTTGTTTAGTCGTAAACACTTAACGAAAGATCTATCAACATCTAATACATTGAGTTTGAAAAAATAAATAACTTACCTCCGTCTGGAGTGGGAAACGTGATGTGAATCGGACCTGCAATACAAGGGAATTGCCGGAAGCACGGACGAAATACAGGGGTTTAATACTATGTGTATGCTATGTTGTCTAATGTTTTCTATTAAAAGGCAGGTAGTGCTCAAATCGTTATGTAGAGAAGTCTCATTAAAGCAACAGTGCGTGTCGAATATCTATAGTTTCTCACACTTTTGTCATTTCAGAATCATTGAATAAAGGAATTTGTTTTCCTCCTTCAAAATTATTAGTAGTCAAAATGAGCAATTTTGGACCAGATAATATAGCTTTTGTATGACTTTGGGGTGATATTTTAGTACATTATTACCATACGTCATCTCTAAAGAGGTTTGTCGATCATTTAGATCAAATAGAGTTATGCCTATTTATAGAAATCATCAATTTACTTATACATGCATAAATTACTAGTTTATGTACACATTCCTAAAAACAAGTAAATTTGTAAAGACAAAAGACATATTGACAAATTGAGATAAACGTATCATCATTCATAGTTACATTTATATGCAAACTGTTCACAGTAAACAGTATATACTACATTGAAGGAACGTTCAACGCATAAACAGATTAATTCCAAGAGCATAACAAGTTATGAAGAGCCGCAATGATTGATAAAAAGATTACAGATATTTGGTAAGTGTATCAATTTTCAACTCAATCCTATTAATAATTGGATCATGACCTTGACACCGAGTGTAATATCTAGAATTAAGAAACCCTTGTGGATTCTTAACGATTCCCTTAACCACTATTTAATATAAACAAATCTATTCAGTAGTACGATTTCTAACAAAGCGAAAGCGCTATGGTGCATTACGGGAGTATGTGATCGTTACATATCCAATAACGACACAACAAATCAGCTAAGGACATAAAAGGCCAAATACATACCTGGATCACTGGTTGGTGTCTCTGTCTGGACGGGGGCAGGTGCTGTAAGAAATATGAGATATAAAGGAAAAAGAAATATTTTATATCACTGTATTTACATGAGATAAAGTAAATTTGTAAGAATTTCACATTGTTTCTTCGTCAATAAACTCGTTGATAACTTGAACGAAAAGTAGTGGTTACCACACTGAGAATTATACAGGCGGCCATGCGCATGCTCAGATAAATTAGAGTCGAGAGCTTTGTCACTTTTATACTAGCAATTCCAATCATAGCAATTATCCAATACACACGTCACATTTCTTTGTATAATGGTAAAATCGCCTAGAGTTTAACATTTAAGACAATATTTCAGGAATGCAGTGTAGTACAATTGTCAGTGAGTGTTGTCGTGCGTCATAAGACTATATGTGTACGAGTTATCGCCCTTATTGTAGCTCTTTTAACTATTCAACTATTCGATACTGTAAATCGCTTATGTTTCTCGAGGGATTATATTTCGCTTTTATTCGGGAGCAAGATCACTAGCAAATTCAAATCCCTCGCGAACATACTTTTGTTGATATTTTCCTTAAATAAATGATTTTTGTGGTGTGGTACTCGCGAAATCATTTATTCGCGAATAAGACAGTTACTAACCTTTCGCGAACACAACAACTCACTGGAAATAAAGAGATTTTATAGAGAAATAATGATAACAGTACCACATATTCCTTATATCTGGTTATAATACCAACTTAATATGAACACCGTAATATAATAATATCAATGAAAGCAAAATAGACATAAATAGATCAATAAAAAAATATATCGCGCAAGGCAACGATGAAAACATTTTGTTCGGTTGATTTTAAGTTCTGAGGGAATAATTAATTTCGACTTGTTTCATTTTCTAATAAAGTGAAAATAAAGTGCTTCAATTAACATTCTATATATGGCTATATCTATAATATACTATACATTATGAAGTTACCAACACTGTGTTGGTTGAAATAATGTGTAGAAATGTATTTTTGTCATACTGTGGTTATGATTAGGAGAGAAGCAAATCCTTATGAAAAGAATATGGCAACCACAAACCTTCTCTGAAAGGTATGCAAATGACATGCTAATAAGTCAATAATAACTTAAGTAACATATAGCGATGTAACAAATACTAGATATATCTACATTTTACATTCATGCTTGAAGAATAACTCCTAGACATGGTCGCACAAGAACGAAAATAATACATTGCTAAGAAACATATGGATATCGTGCTGTATTGTCGTGCGCTCATTCCATACTGTTAATCACTTATATTTCGCGTGGGATTTATTTTTGCGAAAGTAAAACCCAATTAAAATTCCTCGCAATTATTTGTACGAAAATCACCTTGAGGAAATCCATGTAGATTCGGTTACCAATATGAGTTCATATGCGAATTGGAAGTAATTCCCAGACCACCAATCGCAAAATCCTGTGTTCGCAAATATGTCAGAGGAATGGTAAGTTCGCGAAATAAAGTATTCGTGGAATTTTAAAAGATTAACAGTAATCAAGTCTATATTTATAAACTGATAGCCGTAATGAATTTGTTCGTGTTCTATGCGTATTCTCAGTTCGTACTTCTATTCGCTACAAAGCCTAATAATATTCCTTTTTTTATTATTCCGTTGTTACATGCTTTTGTCTGCATGCGTCAGCAATTGCGCTCATTAAAAGTTCATGCGCATCTATGCGTGGTTATATATATAACATGGAAAGGAAATTATTATCAAAGCAAATTAACGATCAACATAATGTGAAAACGACTTTGACCTACCAGGCAGTACGTACACCATCCTGGAAGTAATTTGCAGATCAATACTGCGACACACGTAGCTCCCGGCATCTTTAATGTTTGCTTGTTGTTTTTCTAACACACTAGTTAAAGTCCGGTCCTTATTCGTGACCGAATTAGTAATTCTTATATTGTTTCTTACACTTGAGTACGATTTTAAACCATCTTTAAACCAATCAATGTCGTTTAGGGCATACAATGCACCCGTAACTTTGCATTGTAATCGAATTGTCTCCCCTTCCGTCACCTGCGTAGTTCCCGTCATTGTAATTACTGAAACTGTTAAAGGCATGTCTGTCACAGAATTGCAAACATGTTTAGAGATGTCATATATACCATTAGAGATTGGAGTATAGAGTCAAAGTCTCTACAAACAGAAAGAGTACAAATAATACCATACTAATCTTATTCACTTAAATATGTCTGCGGTTGAACCTAGACGACATAAACACGCTAAATTATAAAGTAGAAATATTATTTTAACTTGATTGTTTTCACTTGCCACAAAAAAAAAGAAAATCTACACGTGCAAGTGAGACAAACATTGCTTGATTCTGGTCTGTCGTTCTGAATTATGAAAATAAAGAAACCGATAAATTATTTGCAGTAATGCGCAAAAACAAAACAAATGTTTCTATCTACAAACGATGTGCATGAAGTTTTCTTCGATTACTTTATTTTTATTTCTGATATCTAATACGACCAGATCACCGAAACGTCAGAAATGGCCCACATTATGCCTAATTCTGAACTTGCGTTTATCTTAAAGCTGCATTGGTAAAATTAAGGTTGCTAAATAGTGATTAAATATGTGATGGGATAACCCGTACCTAGTTAGGTTTGTAAATATTTATATCATACTGCTGCGTATAAATTCAGTTCAAATCAAATTTGACCGATGTAAAAAACACTGATTTTCAGATGTTGTCTGATGACTTTTATAGTGATTCTCGTGTACTTATCTAAAACCTGGTTTTGTAACATGTTTGTTAAGTTAAAATTTAGAAAGCGAGTAGCGTAATGATTATTTGATTATTCCAGAGGAAAGTCAAATTGATGTGTATATTCCGATCCTAACAGTGCCATTATTTGAATCAATTAAAAAATAGCATGCAACATACAACAAATCCTAGCGGAAAAAACCTCCATTAGCAAGGTTTAGGGTATGAAATCGCGAAAATTGCGCTAAAGACAAACAAATGAATATGGCATTTTTACACAAATTTAGGGTAATTTGTAGTAGAGCCAAGTGAACTGCGCCTCATGCATAGCAACGGTCTTAAGATTGACCTTTATCATTCTTTTTAAATTCTTTGAGTTCTGCATATTATGTTGTAAAATTGTGTGGAATATCCCGGCTCTAATTTTTAAGAACAGCGACATTACCCTTGACATTAGGGACTTTTAAAAACACCTATTGCTGATGTAAATTTCACAGTGCGTCATCAAGAGGAATTTCATAATACCTGAACGTCTTAATTCAAATATTATCTCCAGCCGGAAACGAAAGAACGAAGATGTTGACGATCAAATTGAAGGCCAGACACATTGATTAAAATATGACACTAACATGGGCCCTCATACTTGGTGTATAGGTTTTCCAAGTGGAAACCTGACCAAAATAGCCTATAACTATGACAAGGGGACTTCATTTATAAAAAGATAAAAAAAAAAAAAAAAAACAACTGCTGAGCAATAGACGCAAATGTCACCTTCAGCATTAGGAAAGCACATAGACATGCACGACAAAATATTTCATCATGAAGTCTTATGTTGAAGGAAAAGACGAATTCATTACTACGCAGCACATATTGTTTTATCTTGAGTTAAAAGGACGAAATATTGAATATTTTATTGAGAGTTAATCTGATTTAACCTGTCAGAACATATCCGACGGGACATTTATCTATAAGATATGTGGTTACCTCTGCTTGAATTGCGAACATGAAGTACTCAGTCCAAATCAAGATAAAGAACTACAATGACATATATACTTACTGTTCCATGTTTATAATACGTTTTTTACAGGAAGAAGAAATTTGCGTTACATTTATAAGTGGCTTTAAAATGCCAAAGCAACATCGTCTAGTTACTCATTGATGTCCTTCAACTTGTTCTGTGGATGACGTCATGTTTACGGTCACTGTCATCTCACTGATAATTGTTAAATATCCGCATGCAGTATGAAATATCTCCCATGCTCAATTGTATGTCTGGTGGTCTTGTTATAAACCTGTTTCACTTTTGACGACCCAACATTTTTACTTTGGCATTGTACAAAAGACGCACAAGGCACAAGCACATTTTATTACAAGTTCAGAATCAAACACAGCTCAGTCAAAATAAGCAATAAACTGTGTCATACACCTGTTTCGTCTTTCTAGGGTTTGATAAATATGTATATGTTACGTTTCTTAGGCGATGAACTATTTACCTGTAATGTGTAAGTGGAAATATAACAATACACCTTTCTTTTTCTATTTTTTTAATGGCGAATCTTTTATATTATCTCTTGTTGGCGTTTTGCTCTCAATTCATCCATTTTGAGTTAAATTATAATCTGGTAAATATGTATGAATTGTTTTATCTTGTTATCAAGGGAGGGGCAGATTGTAAATCACTGCAATAACAACATGTTGTTACGTGATATTCAAAAGATACTATCAAAATGTGCATGATCATTATCTAATGTTATACTTACGATTTTCCGTCGTAGTCTGAACAGGTGGGGTGGTCACGCATTCCGGCATCGTTCGTACTAGAATAAACAAAATAAAATCGTTTGTTTATTTAAAAATCAGACAATGCCTAAAACGAAAATAAATAACATATAGACATCACATATAACTGTATACGATCAGTATCATATAGCCATTTTTTCCTTAAACTTGGCGATAATCCATGATTTTTCCATTTCTGGACAGCAATACCCTTGCATCTCTAACGTATGGTATTTACATGTCAAGAGTTGATTCGATATCCAAAGGCCTGTTCCCATGATCATGATTTGCGTGCAAGTTGCCGTCAACCTAGTGTTAAACTCGTAACGAAATGATACAAAAGATGCAGGTTGATGAAAGTTATGGGGAAGTTTAATGGTCGCCATAGTGATATCGTTGAGAAATATTCTATTTCTTTATGCGCTATGAAGTTGGACGTATTTGATGCTCGTTAGTTTGCTCGTCGGTGTCGTTGATGTATACCTTATTTTTGAACGTGAGAACGTGACATAACTTGGACTGACGAAAGTTTACATGGCTTGTGTCGTCGAAGAAGCAGAGGACGCTTATATTTCCGGAACACCTGGTAATATCATCCTTGTACTTTTTCAAGCGTCAGGATTGTAAATCTTTATTTTGTTCATAATTTTCCCCAGTTTGATGGTTTTTGAGTTTGAATTATAATTATGTTGCCATTTGGAATTTTGTTGATGTTTTTGCTAAGCTGATTAGCAAATGCATGGTTTTAAATTGTGTTCTATAGGTGAGTAAAAGAGTTAGATTGCAACACTTGTAATGGGTGTTTATCCTTCTGTAGAGGGAGTACATTAAGACAAAGACAGAAGTGCATGTAGAAGATGTTTTCTAGTTCATCTCTAATAACTTTCTATGTATCATGTTTTCGTTCCATGCATCATCAATGAATATTACCAGTAAGGCTGTATTACTATGACAAAAAGGCTTTGTTTTCCATCTTGTAAAGATAACAATTAGTCACTTTCCTGTAGAAAAATATCTTCTTTTCACAAAGACATATATACACAATTTCCAGTTCCTATGTAATATATTCATCTGACCTAAATCTGATACTTACATGAACGAATTTTCCGCTTTATGTCTTCTGCAGCTCTAGGTAGTTGTTCATAGCCGATGACGCTGAATACATTTTCACTTGCCGTTGCAAGGAGCTCAAGTTCTTCTTTCCCTGGTAAGCCGATCCCCACACTGTAGATAGATACTCCTTTATTGGTCAATTCTTCCTTCCTTGTCATGATCATGTCGGTGTTTACATTGGATGCCGCATCGGTGACCATAATGAGAGCTTTTGGGATTGGCCCGCCCCTTGCAGCAGCAAACATACTTGATGCAGTCTTCATGGCTTTGGAGGCGTCGACTACATTACTTCGCAAAGCGTTGCTTGTCCTTGAAATCGTGACGAAAACGTCGTCCCATTTGTTGAATCTGAATATGATGAAATCCCATGCATATATTAAACATTTTAACTTAAAACCATAATAATCTGCAAATGTATGTACATCGCTTAAATAGAAATTAATCTAACCTCTGACTCATTCCTGTCTTTGAGAAAATATTTTGTAGTCGTTATAAGTATAGCATGGATTTCGCTATACCTGAACAAAAACTGATATCTTACTCTTCTGCCTGAGATATCAATCTGGAGTTTGCTCAGAATTGACAAGGAGGTTGTCGGCGACTTCGCAAAGATTACTACCCTTTCTGAAAATCTTTGTCATCATGGTATATTTCCAAGAAAATATGTGTTTTATTTGGTATTTTGTAACATGAGAGTTATTTTCTTGTTGTCATATGCCGACTTTTGTTTTGCTGATTTGAATGATGCGTCTGTTTTTACATGCGATATTTCACAATCACGAAAACTTACTGATCAAGGTAGAAAATAGGCGTTGACGCTGACTCGTAAAACATCACGGCCGCCTTAACACGTCCTCCGTCTATATCAGCCTGTTCATACAGCTCTGCCAGGAATTCGAGCAAGATGGTAAAATGGCTGGGAGTAGCGGTAATAGACGAGTGTACAGCAATGATGATGTCTGCCTCCTCACTCACTGAAGAGGAACAGGATGTAAAATTACAAGGGAAGGAAACTGTCGCAAGAGTGAACGCAATAGGAACAACGCTGAAGATAATTTTGCTAAACTAGAAAATCTCGAAATGGTGACAACAAATGGGATGATATCAATGGTTCTTACTTACTCTATGTGTTAGATAACTCCGAAATTAGCACATTTATTAGTAGGTTTGTACGTCAATATTTGAATAAATGGGGGAAAATACAAAAGAATAAAGAACATTTTGCCATTTTATACTTTAATGCAAAACTCACCCGTCAAGGACATCGGCGCAACAGTTGCTAGAATGGTTAAGAAAAAAGATAATATCAATTTACATGATTCACACGATAAATCTTCATAAAGATCCGATAATTGATTCTGCATTATCATAATACCTAAGTAAAGAAGTGTAATGATTAAATGAACGATTCAAATTCAATGAAGAAACAGGTAATGGATTTTTTAAAATCAAAACTGAATTATGTTATTATAAAATGCATTTATGGCATTCTATCATATAAGATTAAACGTTTTATAAGTGTAAATATGTATTTTCTTTTAATAATTTCAAATGACACAGTGTTTATAATTATAGCGAAGTAACAAATCTAATAAAATCGATTATTGGTATTCATCATATTAATCTAATACATCGTAAAATAGTAACAGATAGACAAATCAGTTTAGTTTAACAATAATGAAATTAAATAAAGTATATGAACAAAAATCACGTAGTCGAAAATATTTTCTCCAATGTAACGAGTTATCTGTTTTCACTTCAAAAGAGCAAAATAGTCATATTCTAAACCTGAAAAAGTCGATACAGAAATCCTTTGTAAAAGTGTATAAATACTTGATGACATTTTGACATGCAGACAGAAATAAGACATGGTGCACAAACGAATCGATCACATTGCAAAACATGGTGCACTAGCGTTTGTGTTTAAATTTGCAAGCGACAAAACAGTAAGCGACAGAACATGAAAGAGAATAAATTAAAAGACATGATGAAAACAAATAGCACATCTTTACATAGATACTAGCATAAACAAAACCAATATGAACAAATATGATTGCACGCATAAGAATAAATTTCACTTTATGACTTAAGTATTGAACTGAACATGAAAACGAAATCATAAAATATGTACTCACGTGCTATTTGTCAATGAAAATACAAAATCCTTAAAAAGCCAATATAAGTAATTCGATCACTGAAGAAAAAATCTGGAAACAAAGCTATCATTATGCATGTCACTTTCAATAATATCACACCCCATTTCATTATAAGATATGCAGCTTCCATTTGAAAAATATAAAAAAAGTCCTCGTCTCCTGAAATCTTAAATGGGTCATTCAAGCGGGATTTGATAATGCAGTTTGTCAACACACGCCATAGCAGTGGAGTACGAAAGAATGTTTAGCATTTTGGTAAATAGTAAAGGTAAATTGATAGAAAATAAACCCTTTGAAACATCTACGCACAGCAGATTTTTACCGAATCACATGTGTTTTAGTCATACTAAACATAATTTCGTATTCCAAGTTTATGATAGAGAATGTAATTCAGCTATGTTTAATTCATTCATGTAAGGCTAAACAAGTTTCAAAATGAAAATGAAGCTAGATTTCATGGATTGCATGTAATGCTAGATGATTATAAGGAATTTCATACCAGGCGGTCGTTCTACATAATATAGATATTGTTCACACCTCAAGTAAGAGAGTATACTTTAAGAGAATATCTAACATTGCAATGTTCATGTTTTTGTTTCTGTAAAGTCATCAAAGTTCATATCAGGACTGGTATCCAGGAGACCTATGATAGATACTGGTTTCATCTATATACCAGAGTCATGCATCCATTCCTCATTCAAAATGACACGACATACCGACAGCTTCTGTTGTCACTGCGTTTACCACAGCTGTCCTGTCATCCGTATATTGTAATGAATAGGTTGGAAGGCCTGATACCAATATGGTATCATCTGTAAATTCCTCTGCTCTTATATTGCCCGTAGGCCTTACAGACGTAACGTCGATTTCGGTTGATATTCGCTGTTCTATCGATGTTGTAGATTCTGTTGTCTTGCTTTGTTGTCGAATTGTAGTATAAGCTGTTGGAGTTATTTCCCCTTTTATAAGATTGCTAGTTGTTCTCTGTGTACTTCGTTCGCGTGCTGGTGTTGTCGCAACTGTGGGTTTTGGAGTAGTAGCGATACTAGTGAATGTCGCACGGCCAGGTGTTGTTTGTGTTTCTTTTATATTTATTCCTACATCGATTGGTGTGCTTGTTTGCATCTCTGGTCTGGTACTTAACCTAGTTGATGTTATCAAATCTCCAGACCGGTCAGGGGCTTGCCCGTCTGTAAATCCCGATGTTGTTAAATCATCTAGCATAGGTGATACAGTCATAAGGAACCCTTCGGTAGTTGGTGGTGCTTTTGATGTCAGTGTTTTGGCTTTAGTTGTGTGTTGAACAGAACCCGAAACTCTGTCTGTTGTAGGCTCTCCTCCAGCAGTTGTCTGCAGTTTCTCCGAGGTCGTCCCAGACGGTGATGTCATTCTGCTCACTTCTGTTATATTTTGTTCTCTAACTGTTGTTTCGGATTTCCTAGATATGATGGGTTCAGTTGCATCAGTTATAGTTTTTTCCGCTCCCTCAGTCGAAAATGTAACTGCACTGGCTATTTCTAAACCAGTTGATGAAGATTTCATTGACATGCTTGTGGTTCGTGCCGCTTTGATTGTTGAGATTAGTAAATCCTCTGTTGTCGTATCTACCTCCGTTGGTGACGTAATTGTGGGTATCTCTGTTTGACGTTCTGTTCCAGTTGTCGACATAAATCTTTCAGTCGTGTCAACTGTCCGTTGTGACGTCATCATTACCCGGTCGGTTGTTCCTAATCTTCCTGCTGTGGACATCTCCGTCACTGAAGTGCTTGAAACAGGTAGTGGTGTCGACGTGCTATATTCAGTGGGTTTAGAGAATCCGCTTCTATCATCCTCTGACGTCATCGGAGTTTGACTCATTGTGGACATTTGGAAAGTGATACTGGTTGTCGGTACGGTTGTTATTCCACTAGGAGTTGTTTTCTTTTTCGGTTTTCTTTTTTTCTTTCCCTGTCGTTTCACTGAAATGATGAAAAATCGTATGCATAAATAACATGTCAATTGTTTCATTGCTTCCTTTTTCATTTATTCTGCTACATTAATTATTAAATCTTATGTTCATTCTTTTTAAAACATTAAATGTTAATGCATGCTATATTAAGGAAACTGTAACATACGGAACATATCAACTACGGCAAAAGCAAAGACACTTTTAGACGAAATTTTCGTCTTCGTTTATCGAACAAACATCTGAAAATCCTCGCAGTTGCTACAGAAAAAAATTGTCATATACATGTAAATAAACACTGTCATTGTTTAAAGCATGTCATGACTTACGTTGATAAATGTCTATGCAACATAACACAATCAATTCATATCTTCTTTGTGAGTTTCGATAAAGTCATATTGACTATTGATTGGAATATTCTCAACATTGTCTACAAAATACAAATTCGTTAATTGCACTTTTGTCTACAATGGACGCATGTTTACATTTATCAATATTATCGAAAACGTACTCGTTGGACTGTTTTTCATCAGTTCCAATTCCAACTACTTTCATGAAAAACTGAATTATCGCATAACAATCTCAACAGTCAAACTATAATCAATACTCACATGCCGGTATTTTCTTCATGACAGATTTTCCTGATTTCTTGAAATTTGCAAGATCTGTATAAACTAGAAGCTGTTTGGAGTTTTCTGCTGGAGGTTCACTGGGCACAATAACAATTTCCTCGCCGACATCCCCTATTCCTATCATATATACATACACACCCATACTTTTAAGCATCTCTGCTTCTGTCAATACTTCCGATACCCCATCATCGGATGGGCTGTCTGTCACTACAACCAAGTAATTTGGAGCTTCCGGTCTATCAAAGGGTTCCACAAATATTTGTTCTCGGACAAGGCGCAATCCTTTTGCTAAATCTGCTTTCTTAAAACGTAAATTCTTCGGGAGTTTCCGTATGAACTTCATCGCAGGTTTCTTCTGTGAAAAAGTACCTAAATTGAACAAGAGGTGTCCTTCCTTTCCATAAGTTGCTAAAGCTGTTCTCACTTTACCATTGTCCAGCTTGCACTTTTTAATCATTCGCAACAAGAACTTGATATATCCTTTCTTAAAAGCTTTCTTTGATATTTTATTCGATGCATGGAAAAGGAATGCAATATCTGCCAATGAAGAATCTGCAAATTGGCAATGAAATAAATATGTATCAGGCTTCAAAGAACTGGATCATATTCAACTGTCAAATAAGAGTCTATCTTTATAGAAAACCGAACTTATGTTTACATGAAATATAACCACCTTAGTTTTTAATGTTAAATGAGGATAACGACATATAGAAATATTTTCAATGGTATTTTGTCACGATCTGGTTACTTAGTGAGATATCGGATCATTTTATGAGATATAGACCGTGCAAATCGCCTGAATAATACAAATATACAACTTTTCATAAAAAGATATTTGTCTCGAGCTCAGAGTACGCAAAAAACACTTACCTGTATCTATATCCGTTGTTGTTTTTAAAGTTGATGTTGCTTCTTCTGTTGTTGTGATAACACGGGGTGTTGTTTGTCCTACAAATAAACCTATTTATGTAACATAAGCGTTGTCTTACTTATATCACCAATACAAAATAATAACAGATACCGACAATTTGATGATAAATATAGTCTCATTTTTGTGTTACCTTTTAACAACAAATTAGATGACTTTATGCTGATATTTTACTTTATCTAATTATAGGTAATAGAAAATATATATACATATTTACACAATCAAAACACGAATCATATGTATTTGAAGGATATATATTTATCACAATAGCATAAACAATTCATAGATACAAAATTGTAATACTTACGGTTGTACTGTATTTCCGTAAGAATTTTATACGGTACTGGAATGTCCGTTGTGTCCGAAAGTTCTGGATAATCTCTTATGTGATACTTTTTCCCTTGGGTAGCAATATCTTGATCTTGACCAATGAGAACCCAATGTGTTGTAACGCCACTATTTTCTAGGTCATGCATTTCGTTCAAAAGTTCATCATCCATTTTGTCGTATATTTTGTCCGTAACGAAAATCACATGTTTTTCATCATTTTCTGACACATGACTTGGAATAAACACAGACTGGCGCAAAAACTGCAACACTTGCTGGAATCTGGCAAAT